AACGAAATTATAGGAACGATTCGCGTTCACGAAACGTTAGTAAAGGAAGGACCGATCGATCCATCGCGATTCAATGCTCGCCGAAGTGTACCGGGGTGAACCCGAAGACGAAGAGTGTCTGTGCGCGCACAATAGCGAGCAATGTAAAATTTAGATCGGGAACGAGTCGCGATTGCGAGCTCGTACGTGTGGAAACGTGATTTCGCGAAAACTCGCGTCGAACCCTCGACAACAAGAAATTCAATTAGACGTCGCGCTCAGAATATTCTATACATAATTGTCTGCACGTCTAGCAATCGGTTTTGCGATTTCAATGATGACAAAAAGATGTAATTGCAATTTATTCGAATATTTGAAGCATGAGAAACGAGCGATACGAGAAATAAAAAAACAACACCTGAACTTCATAATTATTTCCTCATCCGACGGTCGAGTGTGCGAACAGAAAAATGTAATTGCGAGTTCTTTCGGTTTTCGGAATAAGCAAAGGAGAGGATAAATTTCTAAATTCGTTGATGCCACGTCGCTTGGACGAACGTTTCGGTAGGTGATTCGACGCCCGCGGGGCCTATTGTCCGAGAGCCTGGAAAGGTCTCGAGACGGAATTAAATATGAGATGCATCCGTTGGCAAGGTCGTTATGTCACCGGACAACTATCAGACTGACTGGTTGTTTCTCAAGGGGACCTACATTCAGACGCGCCAAAAATGTCTCACGTGACTCTTCTTTTAATGGAATAATAAAAATCTCTTCTTACCATGGAATTACAAATTTTTCTGGATATTAATCGAAGAAATAAGATGTAGATAAATGGAAACACGATGCTACGTTGAGAAAAAATAATGAAACTGATCAATCAAGGATCAATGGGAGGAGGGGGGACTAATATTTGGCTGTTTCTCAAGGATATATGCACGTTTTGCCCAAACATGTGGCACTGACTCAAGTCTATTCTGTTTTCAATAGGATTTTAAAACAGTAAAACATTTTTTTATTTGAATAATAGTCGAGAGAATAAGATTTAGAGACATAATGTTATGAAGAGGGATGAGACTGATCGATCAGTAAAAGGATAAAAAATTGAAACGAGTATTCCGCGTGCCAGAGAGGATGCTTTTTTTCTTCGCCAAGGGAATCTTTGAGGTTTAAGGAAAAAGGAAGGGGAAGGGTCTTTTCTCGAGCCAGACGATCGCCAGAGACAGACCGTCTGGCGATCGTCTGGCTCTGGCGATCGGTAGTCGAGGTGTTTTTACGGCTCCCCACCCCTCCTCACGCCGGGAGGTTTTCCTCCCGCCTGCATCAGGTTTGATGGCTTTCCCAGAGATTTTACCGCCACCAGCCTCCCAAGTTTTACGACGTCGTTGCTGGATTTTATATCACGACGCGCGGCGCGCGAAGGTTCGTCGTTGACGAGCACCGGTAACGATTTACACGTCGCTTTACAGAAACATATCCGCGAGAACGAGCCCTTTTCCACGGCTAAATTCCGCTCGGAAGTTTCCTTACTTCACGAGCTCCGCGGGTTGAAAGACAGCCCCTTCCGAGAAAGCTGTAAAGTTAATTGAAGGATCGTTGCTTCGTCGACGAGCACCTCTTCTCCACCGTGATTTATCACTCGTCTTTTTCCGCATCTCACGCCGACGGCGGCCAGGCAAATTTTTATATAAATTTTACGAAGCCGAGCGACGATTCGGAACGATTAAAACTTGTTAGGCTGTAATCTGATTCTGCGGTGGGAAAAGTTGAATTTACGACGAATGCAAATCGGAATATCGCCTGGTAATCGCTTCTTGTGAAAGGACCGACGTGACGGCATGTCCTTTTGTGAATCGCGAAACGGAAACGAAAGCGAGACGACGACGACGACGACGTCGTTCGACTCGTTATCGTCGAGTCTCTGGAGAATCGAGATCGAGAGGTCGCGATGCAAGCCTCAACTCTCGAGGGACAATTTCCCGCCTCTTTTCCCGTCGCGTAATTTCGATATTTATCTTCATTAGCGCGGCTCTGTTCAACGGAAATCGGAGATCACCGGTTTCGAAATTCGACGAGTTCAACTGGTCCATGCGTGTACACTCCCGCTCATAAGTTCCAGGAGGGGATCGTCGATTGGTCTCTCATACGCGCTTTGACCGATCGACTGACAAAGATACAGCAATGACTGCTGAAGGAGTTATTACAGGATCGTCACAAATGCACTTCCTTCCTTTTTATATTTTCTGATTTTCGTTAAATCGCGTCAGTCTCGATTAAGTCAATTCTAATTTGTCGAAGTACCAAAATAAGTTTCATACTGGTATAACTTGTCGTTGCATTTGACTCAATCGTACTTTTTCTTTGCCCGATGATTTATAAAACGTTTCAGTTGTCAGTGAATGAAACTGGACGTATCGGAAAACTGGGAGAGATTGAAAGTAAAGGATACAGAACCTTACGAGGTCGAAACAGAAGTCAGGGGGACAAGCTGCTTAACATATTCATCATTCTCGGTGGAAACAACGCGTTAGCCACCTGTGGCGACACGAACAGGCATCGCGCCGAGAAAATGAAGTCGATCGCGGCGAGGAAGAGATTGCCGCAACACGGCAAGGTGCACGCATAGGTGAAAGTCGTTATCTGTTACATTAACGAGCCGAACCGAGGCGTCGCGGTGGATCGAGACGGTCTCAGCTGGAATTACCATGGCGAAGCAGCTTCGGTCATTAGAGACCGAGCGCGGCTATTTGCCGCGATTATGTTTCGAAAACGGAAGTCGTGACGAAACGGCGCGCCGCGCCGAAGATCGCGTGTCAAGCCCTGTTCTTTGTTCCGTTCTCGTATCTTATTATGAGGGAATAAAGGAGAATTGAGAAATTTAAAACGTGTCAAATCGTCTACCCAGATTACGATCATACGAATCTTCGGTTCGTTCATATGTATCTCATTATACCGAATGAAGGAGAACTCAGAACGTGTCAAATTGTCTATCCAAATGATATCTAATCATTATAACTCCTCGAGATCGTCTTAAAGTTTCGTCTGACTTTTAAAGATATTACGCGGCCGACGTCGGAGCCTGCCTCGCGGCTGTTCACTGAGAGTTTCGTGAAATGAACAATGTTGCTTACGTTAAGTAATAACTCAATTCCTTACGGAGATCGTCATTATCATCGCCTCGCGTGTTTCGAATCCGAATAATTCTCGACCCGATCCCAAAATCCGCCCGCAGCGATTGCGTAAACGTTCCCCTTGACTATTCCCTAATGGACGAATCGCATGACTGAGATTTCGGCTCGAGACCCGTGGGTCCGTCGATTCCATAAACCTCGAGGTCTCATAATATGCAAACAATACGCGTGCAGTTTAAACAAAATAAAAAAAAAAAAAAAAATAGGACGCTGACAAGCTTTTGGTTGACTGGTGGTGTACTAAAACGCAAGAGGCATTTGGAAAATTGGATAACGGACCCCTCGTGCCTGAACCGATGCTTGAATCATCGATCCGCGTTTCCAGCTAGAGGGAAACACGCGCCGGCAATGACCTAGCCCATTCATAGAACCCGCGGAGTCATTTTTTTCTCTCCCCGGTGCTCTCTCCCCGAAGGGATTAAGTAATCGGTGGCTTCACTCGTAAAAGGTGAGGCACGTTTCCATAAACGTTTTTCACTGCCAATGGCACGCGCGACGTGTCGTGTAGATCGCCCATTTACGCTGTACACGTTTTCCCCACCACGTTACGTTTCCCGGCTCTGAATAAATGAGACTAAACGCGAAAAATATAAGAATTCTGCTCTTGATCGATAGACGAATTACGATCACAGTATTTCAAACACTCCGTGTATTTTCGAGAACGCGTGCCGCTAATTGATAGACAAATTACGATGCAACGTGTATCAGAATATCACGCATATTTTTTTTTATTGCAAATTAAGGAAAGTGTAACGCGGAAGGAACCAGAGAAAAAACGACGAAGACCAACCGGGCGTTGTAAGAAAAGCAAGAAATCCCGAACCGGTAACGGCGGGGTGAAAAAAAAGAAGAGGAATAGCGGCACCGGGGAATGATAAATTTGCGTTCACACGTGTTTTTTTCGCAGGCTCGATGCTGCCCTCCGCCTCGTTCGATTCTAATCGACGATCTTACGTCACGGATGCAAAGTCACAACCGGTTTTCAAACAGCGAACCGGCTTTACGAACTGTATTTACACGTAACGTGCGTCAGCCTCGGCCCTGTCTCTCCGTCCTCGTTCCCCGTTCGCATGCCGCGGTCTCACTCGAACGGACAGCCAAAGGTCTCCAACGACGTTGAATTATTTAACGAGAAACTTTCGGCCAGCGATGAAATCATACCGCGAAATATTGCATGGCATCGTGCATAAACGAATAGCCGAGAATCGTACACCATTTTTCACGAAACGTTCGGCTTACTAAGCAGAAGGACACTTGCCTTTTTTTACACGCTAAATCATTCGATCAGCTTACGATCGAACCGCGGATTTTATCCATTTACAGAAAGCGCAGGATACGCATTAATTTTTCACTTTTTAAATTGATTGTCGCAAATGATCTGTTCTCCATAAAAATCCGCGATCTACTTATAAATGTTCTCGTCGTTCGCACTAATTGATATTTAACGGAGAGTGAATCCGTGGTCAAAAAAATGGGATAACTTCCAATTGGCCGCGCTGACCGACGCGATTCCGAGCGCAACGAAATTTGTCGAAAAAAGGAAAAAGAAAAAAACGGATACAAAGAAAAAACGAAGTGCGTTCGATTCTCCATGTCGTCGTTCACCTCTGTTATTTCAATATCCGCGAATGGCTGCGCTATCGAATATTGAGTGCCAATATTTACGCGCTGCTCGGCGTTTATTCAATGGCCAAAACGTTTTTCAGGGAAAAACCGGGCCGGTGCCGGTACGGTGCGGGAGGGGTTCGGCAGCGAAGGTGAGACCGGCCGAGCATAATTAAGCCGAGCGACGATTAAGCGATCTAATTAAGGGTGAAAAGAGGGTGGACTCACCTTTCTGCAACTGGCCGTGGTCCGCGTTCATTTTCGCCTGCAACAGAAAGTGCTGCGCTTCACTAAGTAGAATTAGCACCGGGGCCGTGAAAATTCCGGCGATTCGGTTAATATATGTGCAACCGGCTTGCTCACCTCGTAACCTTGTTTCGCGCCCCGTCCTCCGCCCCAGTAGTCGCTCTCCTTGTCGTGGGGGTTGCATTGCTGGAACAGAAAGAACCGGATACCGTTAGTTTCTCGACCGGCGGGAGGTTTCCTGCTTTCTGTTATAAAATTACTGACGGGCAGGAAATCGTTGCTACTTATTTATTTATTAAAGACTACTCGGAAAGAACTTTTCAATTTATATTTAGCTCACGTAAAACAGGCAATAAAATTAGAAAATTATAAATGACGTTGAGAAGGAAATTTCGGAAAAACGGATATTTATAATTGATCCAGTATAATAATGGAACGGTGGCATAAAACCGAGAGGTCGGTGCCGGAGTGGAGTGTAATACATCGCGTCGGACGGGAAAGGAGTCGAAGTAGCGCTGGTGGCGGACGCAAAGAGGGTCGTCGTCGATGGTAAAGAGGGTAGGCGGCGAGGGGTGAAAAGTACTGTCTAGACACAACACAGACGAGGGTGGCGGGTCTAACCTGTGACCTTGGGCATCACTCGGTCTTCCATGGAGATAGACAATCGACCCTGCCACCCCTTTTATCTTGGTACAATTTTTTACACAAACAATCCTCTCCTTTATCATTAATTTTGACGTACAAAACGATTTAATAATATCTTCGTTGGTAAAGAAATATTGCGATCTCATTAGGAAGAATTAAATCGTTTCGTAGAATGTTAATTAAAATACAATCCTAATCGATAAGACTCGAAGGTATATCAACCTGTTAGAAATTAGTGTAAGGGGGAGGTTCTCGAAATCTTTCAAATTTGTTTCACGCACGTAAATCACTCGTCGTCTCACTAATTGCCATGGTTTGGGTAAAATTCCCTCGGAATCGTGTTCCCATAATACCGAGCGCGTTCAGGCCGAAAACAGGCCGTGGCGGGGGCGGTTTAAACAGAACGAATGTACGTCTGACAACCTGGAACGCTAGGGACATTAAGGGATGACCCCGTTTCCCTTCTCATGACCCCTTAAACCACAACTGAGTCCGTGCCACCCTCTATAACGTCGTAGACTTTGCGTGTGGTCACGTATCCTACTCGAAGGACTCGGACCAGAAACCGTAAAGGGTGGTTTACGATGGAAAAGGGATGTATCATAGATGATAAACTTAACAGCCAAGATTCTTCACGAATCTTCTTAGAAAAACATTTTAGAGTCTGCTTTTGCAGTTCAATTTTGGTCAAACTGCTCGTGTAAAATCGTCCGCGGTTTAATGAAACTATAGTATTAAAAGTTTTAATGATAGACGATTAAGAATTATAAGACGATAAAATGATAGTAAAATAATTTTCTGTAGAAGATGAGTTCTATCGTAAAACGATGGTTAAGGCTGTTGAATCGACCCAGTTCGGAAGGAACGTACGAATCGATAGCCGTCCATTTGGTCGGACCGAATTTTACGTCCCTATAAATCTGAGGGTATAGGGTCGACCTAGAAACCGAGCTAAGGGACACCATAAGGCGTCGAAAGGGCAATGCTTTCGTCCGTCGCTCTACAGGTGGCTCGTGAAACGATCCGATTCTTGTGAGAAAGTCCAAGAACATGAAGGGATATGCATTTTTCGAGTGAGGGTGGTCAGCGCGGATCCTAGCACGCCAACGAGAACCTCACACCCTCGTGAGGTGAAAGGGTGTTCAATATTCTCTCGAAAATGAAACTTCGCTTTTATCTTATTCTGTTATGAACGATCGTAGAATTTGAAATTTCAACTTATTTTTTTTATTGCGCTATATTTAAGAATTTCTGATTTATTTAAACGAGAGCACGGAGGGCTGAGCTCTAAAGCGGGAAGAAAACAAAAAATTGTGAGCGTTCTCAGGCATCGTCTGGAAACAACGCGTTTCTATTTTAAAGTCAGAGGAGAGGAAATCGTTCCGTGAGCAGGAAGAGGCTGGATCATCCCTTAAATCCGGCAGTCTGCCTGCAGATGATATCGAGATCGGTCGCGTGACGCTTAAAATTGAATCTCCTAATGAGAATACCGAATAATTGAACAGTTTCGATCCCGAAGTCGTGCTCTAATGTCAACCAATGACATTTCCACGACATTTCCTATCAGGATTGCGCTCCCCGGTATCTTTTAAAACGAGCACGTCAGTGGAAATTTAAAAATCATAAACACCGAGTCGTTAAAAATCCAAACGTCGAATTTCCCTGACTCCGATCCGAGGCCACTTCATCGTTAAAACCCGAATCGTTTCCGCTGATGGAAATGCCTACGATGAACCATCGAGCCTTTCATCCTCCGGCTCTCGTGTGGACACGAAACAGGGCCCTTCAAAAATTCAACTCGATAATTTCCATCGAGGCGGAAACGCGACGCGGGGTTCAGTGGCACCGAGCAACGATCCAACCCTTACGTCCAGCGAGCGAGAAGCGGGGGACGAGCGGTGGGAGCCCGAGATGGATGGACGGAGAAGGCGAAAAGGAGGGATAAAAAAATGGGAATACGTGCTCCACGATCCCTGGATTGGTAATCCAACCTACCACGAGCGAAGCTCGAAGGGAAGATAAAGATGGGGGAAAGAGAAAGAGAGAGAGAGAGAGAGAGAGAGAAGAAAAAATACATTTTAGCTCGCATCCAGGCGCTGCAGCCACCCTCTCTTTCTCTCCGTTCCGTACGTCTGTGTAGGTGGTCGGGGCCGATAGTCGAGAGAGCGTCCCGATAGCAAAAGGACGCCGACGCCCGGCGTCGGAGGGTGGTCGGGGAAAAAAATCACAAGGATGGAGGAAGGAAGAAGAGGAAGGGGTGGCGGTGCGCGAGGGAGAGAGCAAGAGACGGGTCGGACGAGAGGAAAGAAGGGATGGAAAGAGAAAGAAGGCGCCCGAGGCGTGCCGGCGGGGCGGCGAGGCGTTCGGGGGTGGAGGACGAAACGACCGTCCAGGGAAGGGAAAAAGGTGTAAAAAATAGCGGAGCCGAGGAAACGGGAGGAAAAAATCGGCCAGTCTCCACGAAGGAGGCGAGAGTGCGGTGGCCGGGGCGCGAGGGGCGGAAAGAGATAGAGATGGAAGGGGGTGGAAGGATCGAGCAAGGGGAAGAACAAAGGAGAGAGGCGCGATAGGAATAATAGTTGATAGAAGAGGGTGGATTTCGTTTCCTCCGTCGGTATTGCGAGGGGGCGAATTGAAAATGACCCGTGTAAATGTTTTCTTTAAAATGATAAAAGGCATCGCGCGAACACAAGCAGCTCTTTCTGACGCGTGAATGTGGTATTCGTGGTTGTGTCGTTTGAACACTTCTCATTTCTGATTACGGAAGACACGACGAAGCGGTACTCTCGTAAGCGCTCAGGTTTAAAGTTGCGCGAGGTTCCCGCGAGTCCAAGCCTTAAAGAGTATTCAAATTGCAGTGAAGAGAAAGGAAGAGCCTTAGAAGAAATTGAAGAACCCTAGTTTCGGAATCTGTTACTCGGCAATGCTCTCTTTGTCGAAACTCACGGTATTCGAGAAATCCTCGCTTTGAAAAGAATAAGAAGAAGAAGAGACGGAAGAAGAGGAGTCGCGTGTTCCCCGGTGTCCGGTCAGAGATAGACGAGAATGCGGGGGAGGAGAACGCGCGAGGGGGTGACGGTCGGTGGGGGCTATAGGGAGGCGAAAAGCAAAAAGACGAAAGGGATGAAGACACGAGAGGGCCGCGGCGGGGGACGGAGAAAGAAATAGAGGAAGGCGAACGCGTACGTCGGGGCGAAGCGAACGAGGACGGAGGAACAGCTAGGAAAACTGGGCGGCGAGGGGGAAAAGGAGGTAAAAAAGGTGGAGGGAAAGGGGTGAGACGGAGAGAAAGAGAGGCCCACACCGTGCACATGCGTGACCGTCCGTCCGCGTACGAGGCGGCGTGTATTGATCAGCCAAAGAGCGCCACGACGCCGGGCGTCCTTTCTGCGAGCCTTGCTTTTTTCGGCACGACGGCCGAGGGTGGAGGAGCTGCTAGATGCTGCTAGGCGGAAGGGGCGAGGAACAAGGGAGGAGACCGCGACGCGACCTAACACAACGGACGCGATCCTCCTGACGTCATTCTCTCTTTTCTTTATCTCTCGTTGCTCGCTCCTTCTTTTTCTTCCGCGACCACCCCCGTCCCTTTTGCCTATCGGTTATGTACTATCCGTTCCCTTCGTTGCGCCGTTCTCCAGACCGCGAAAGTCGCTCGTTAAAGGGAAATTTTTCCAGTGACGATGAGACGACTCGGCATCGAGTTGTAAAAAGAGGAAATCGTGACAGAGAAATAAGTTTTAACGGAATTGGAAATAAAAACAGAGAGAGAGAGATAGATAATTTTTATGTTTACCGGCTAATTATCATGACTCCTGTAACTGGAATATAAAATGGATACGACGAGAGAATTTCGATACGACTATCCTGAACGCGATTCCCTCCGAGGGTGAAAGTTAAAGCTTCACTTTCACCTAACGCGTGCTCCCCGTGGAACGCGCTAACTAAGTGAACGGGTAATTGTTTAACGAAATTATAATAAACACCGTGTCGTGTGGTAATAGTTTAAAATTCCCGCAGAAACGTGAGAGTGAGAGAGCGAAGAGCAAAATATTTTTCTTGCTAAACACCGGAAATTACGTTCCATCGAGAACGAGTTTTTTCCTTTAATTCTTCTCTCTCCTTTTCCACCCTGCTACCCTTATTTTCCTCTTCTTTTATTTTCGTTGTTTCACCGGGGAGAATGCAAAGAAATGTGGCCGCGCGTAAAGAGGAAAACTTTTCAAGTTCCTTCGCGGATTTAATTTCGTTAAAGACTCTCCTCGAGGAGGAATATGATAGCTTTTTCTCTGCCCACCCCTACAGTTACCCGCTACCTCTCTCTATTTATTTATTCCTTCCTCCGGTGCAATGTTTCCTTCGTTAACGCTAACTAAGTACTTAATCCCACGTTTCTCCTCGCTCGGGGGATTAAACGGAAACCATTTAATCTACGATACTTAATTCTTTCTCTTGTACATCACCCATACCTGCTGTTGCAAACAAAATGGACCAAACAATTCCTTCCAATTAACCGATCATCAATCCGTCAGAGAAGACACGCT